CTTTTGATGATGGCTGGCAATTTAGGTTGAAATGATTCCAACTGTCAAATAACAAATCAATTTAAAATATAGGCTCCGGGGGCTGGAGCGATAATATAATGGTAAGGCACTTGCCGGGCAAGCAGTGAATTTGGGTTCAATCCCCAGCACCCCATATGGTCTGTCAAACTCTGCCAGGAGAGATCCCGAGTGCAGAGTCATGAGTAAGCCATGAGTGCTACCAGGTGTGACCCCCCCCACCAAAAAACCACAAATAAAATGTTGGCTCCGTGTTCTGGAGAGAGTACAGCAGGTAGGTTGCTTGCCTTACACATGGCCAATCAGAATTCTAACCTCGACACCATGGATGGTCTCTTGAGCCCCACCAAGAGTAATACCTGAGCACAGTGCCAGGAATAAGTGCTGAGTACTGCCAGGTGTACCCCTCCAAATAAAAAGATAGGTGTTGTTGGGACAGGAAGAGATAGTACAGAATTTAAGGTACTCTGCCTTTTATGTGGCTGGCCTTGATTTGTTTCTGGCAATACATGGTCCCCATGTATCACCTAGTAAAACAGTGGAGCCCCCAAGCACAGTTGTGGTGCTCTGAGTAATCCACAGCACCACAGGACCAGGAAGCACCACATCCTTAGGCCCTCCCATTGAACTGCTGGCCTAGTTGGTTGAGAATCACTGGGAAGGCCCCCAAGTCTCCTGGGCACTGTTTGGTAGCCCTCCAAATGAGTAAAATAAAATATAGGTTCCAATAAAATGCATACCAAGACATTGGAACAATGGAAAGAACTTTTATCCATTCAATAATTCCTTGAAATCAGCAATTCTCTTATACATAGATGGACATAGATGGAGAGTATCAAGCTAAGTGAAGAGTTAGAGGGATAGGGACAGACATTGAATGATTGCGCTCATTTGCAAGGGTATAAGCAAACACAGTATGAGACTAATACCCAAGGACAGAAGAAAAGAGGGCCAGGAGAACTGGTCCACTGTTGGAAGCTTGCCACAAGGTGGCGGAGGGGGGCCCATAGGGCAGTTAGGATAGAGAAGAGGCCTCTGACAATAGGTAAAGGTAAAGGCCCTCCCATTGATCGTTGATTTGCTCGAGCGGGCCCAGTAACGTCTCCATTGGAGACTTTGTTGTTACTGTGTCTGGCATATTGAATACTCTCAGTAGCTTGCCGGGCTCTCCAAGAGGGGCGGAGGAATCGAACTCGGGTCGGCCATGTTGGCCGCTTGTAAGGCGAACGCCCTACCTGCTGTGCTATCGCTCCAGCCCTTCTGTGACAATGATAGTTGGAAATGATCACTCTGGACAAGAACTGAGTGCTTAAAGCAGAGAAGAAAAGTGTCTGCCATAGAGGCAGACTTAGGGGGAGAAAAACTGGGGACATTGGTGGTGGGAAATATACACTGGTAAAGGGATGCCTGTTGTAAGGAATAACTTTGTAACTGTGTATCTCACAATGATTCAATTAAAAAATAAATCCGCAATTCTTTATGGAGCACCTAAAGGAGTCATGGGTAGGTGCTAAAAGCAAAAACAACACCCCTCATCTTCATAATGCGGATCACATCCTATAGGAGGAGCAGTCAAAATGTAAAATATAAAGTCTGAAAGGTAAAATATAAAGTCTGAAAGGTAATGTATGCTGTGAAGAAAATAACTAAAACAAAGGCCAAAGCCTTTGTTAGTACAGAAGGTAGAGAGTTAGCCCTGCATGCAACCGATACAGGCTCGAACCCTCATATCCTATATGGTCCCTCAAGCCTGCCAGGAATGACCCCTGAGCACTGCCAGGTGTGCCACCCCCCCTAAAAAGAAAAGAAATAAGAAAAGTAAAACAGGGCATTACATTGGTTAAATGATTGAGGGAACTTTGAGGAGTCAGGTTACCTTGATTCTTTTTCGTTTGGGGGCCACACATAGCTATGCTCAGGGCTTACCCCTGCCTCTGCACCCAGGTATCACTCCTGGTGGGCCCAGGGAATCATATGGGATGCCAGGGATTGAATCTTGCTCAGTTGCGTGCAAGACAAGCACTCCACCCACTGTATTACCCAGATCACCTCTATTATACCCGGACCAGCAACAACCTTCAGGATATGCCTCCTGAGCGGATTTTTCTCTTTTCTCTGAAGATGGTTTGAATTTAGTCTAAGTTTCTTTCTTTTATAGTGGTATTAGATCTGATGGTTCAAGACTCATTTCTTTGGGGGACAGAGCAATGGGACAGCGAGTAGGGCATTTGCCTTGCACGAGCTGACCTGGGTTCAATCCCTGGCATCCTATATGGTCCCCTGAGCACTACCAGGAGTCCTGAGTGTAGAGTCATAAATAACCCCTCAGAATCGCTGGATGTGGCCCCCACACATCAACAAAATTCCTAATTTCTTCAGTAAACACCAGTACTGTCCAGAGTCAAAACCAAAACCTGGGCCAAAAACATAGTCCAATGGGGGTAATGTGCTTCTTTTGTACAAAGGCCCACCCTGATTTGATCTCTTGTACCACACAGGTTCCTATGAGCACACCAGGAGTGATCCTTGAGCACAGAGCCAAAAGTGATCCCTGAGCACCGTAGGGTATGGCCCAACCCCTCTCCTTTCCACTACCACCCTAAATAAAACCAGTCTGTATAGTGGAGTGGGAGAGAAGACCTTGGAAATAAAGCATTACATAAGAGTGTCAACGTATCATAATCCATTCTTCACAGTCCAGTCTGCTGTTCTAGCACAAGACATAATAAAAATGAAAAATAGGTCATTGAAAACTTACAGAGGACAATGGGCCAAAGCTACCTCATGGATCTGGGGGGTGCATCTCAGTGGAAGAGAACATGCTTCAAATATGTGACACCCTGGATTTCTTCCTGAATCTTCCAAAGCTGCCTTCTCCAGTGGTTCAGCTAACAGTGCATCATTAGTAATGAAAACCTAAGTTTCCTTTCCTTTCTTTCTTTCTTTCTTTCTTTCTTTCTTTCTTTCTTTTTTCCTTTCATTTCTTCTTCTCTTCCTTTCGTTTCGTTCATTCTTTCCTCTTTCTTTTCTTTCTTCCGTTCGTTCTTCTTTTTCTTTCATTCATTCATTCTTTTTTTCTTCTTTTCTTCCTTTTGTTCTTTCTTCTCTTTCATTCTTCCTTCCATCCTTTCTTTCTTTCTCTCTTTCTTTGAACCTAGGATCTCACACATATGTGGGTGGATGCACTGCGCTCTGCCACTGGGCTAAACCCTGGCCATTTTCCCCTTTGTTTTTATACTATCTTGAGTATCCTGCAGGTGGTGTATGAATAAATCTGTTACGATTCATTAACTACTCAATCTCTTTATTTGGGCTATGAGGGTCTTTTTTTTTCCTTAGGGGAAGGTTTGGGTAACATGCGGCTGTGGTCAGGGCTTGTTTTTGGCTCTGAACTCAGGAATCACTCCTGGCAGGCTTGGGGGACCACATGGGATGCCCAGGATAGAACGTAGGTCAGCTGCATGCAAGGGAAGCGCCTTACCTGCTCAACTATCTCTCCCACTATGGGCTTGGAGAATCTTGGGGTGCCTGTGGAGGTGGAGGGGCAAGAGGCAGGGACTGGAACTTGGGTCTCCCATATGCAAAGCCTAGTTACATCAGCTCCTGCACCCTATTCACTAATAACTTCAATAACACAGGTTGGCAGATAGAGATTGAAGGAATTGGTCAGAGCAGGTGCATGTCTGGAAGCGTAAGTTTGGTTCGCAGCAAACTAGGTGGCTTGCTGTTTGGAGGGGGAGGAGTCACATCCTCTGTCCTCGGGGTCGTTCTGACTGGGGAATCACACCCAACCTCCTGCATAAATAGCATGCATTCACCCTTTACCTGTCTTAATCCAGCTGCGCAATTTTTCATCATCTTTTTGGGAGCCCCCCCCTTTAGGTTTCTGGTACTTGGCAGGTATTTTGAAATTTAATATAATCTATTTTATTGGGGCAGGGGAGCTGGACTACACCCAGCAGTGCTCAGGATTTGCTCCTGGCTGTGTGTCAGGATTAATCCTGGCTGGGCGTGAGGGCCGGGGGAACAAATTCACCCGGCATGTTTTGCATTAATCTATGAACTGCAGCTCTTTGCAATCTCGATGGAAACGTGGGAATGAACAACGCGCCCGTAGTTGTCAGCAACTGAAATTTGAGAAGGATGATTTTCTGGGAGAGTGTTTCTCCACCCCTGTGTTTTCACATAAAACACAAAGGTAAGGAGGAACGGATGCGCAGAGCTAGTCAAGCTCTCTTCTGAAGAAAAGGCACCTGGGGGAACTGACGCAAGGAGGCGTAGAAGTCCTTCCCAAAGAACACCGACGTGCCTGGAAATCTAGAAATCCAGGAAAAAGCATCCGGCGGGCCCGCCGCTGCCAACAATCACCTGAGGGCGCCTTCCAGGGATTTCGTACAATTAGGTACCCGAACACTGGAGAACCTTCCACATTTTTCCTTTCTGGAGTCCCCGCCCTTGGTTTAGACTGTCACCACCGTGCGTCAACCGGGGGGTGGCGTCATGGGAACGGGGGGGGGGGGGGAGGGAAGCACACGTCGCGCGAGACTGAGACGGGATTTTGAAGTTAAGGAACCGCCGCGGCGCACGCGCACTGGCCTCACAACCTCCGGGCTGCACGCGGGGAGGTAGGCTTGAGCCCTGAGGAGGGGGAGAAAAAGACGTGCCGGCGGCTATTGCTTCTCTCCCCGTGGCGCGCCTGCTTCCGAAGGGTGCAGGCTCTTCCTGGGGTGGCCCGGGTGCGCTCGTGCGGGCGGTTGGCACCTCCCCTTCTTCCGAAGTCGGGAGTGTGGCGGGCTTGCTCCCGCGTGCAGGACTCGAGCTTCGCTCTTTTCCTGAGGCACCGCCAACCCCCGGCCCGCGCCCCCGACACGCGCCGGCCTCCCGCGACTGCTCTTTCCCCCCTTCTCTCCCCAGCCTCTTGTCTCCCACAGCCCCCGATCCCGATCCGATCGTCCCCGCTGCCTCGCCTTGGGGGAGCCGCCGCAGCCCCGGGGTCCCGGCTTGGGGGCAGAGAAGATGGCTGGCGGGCGCCTGCTGTTGGGGGGCGACTTCCTGTCGCCGCCGCCGCTGCCGCCCCTCCCGCCGCCGCCGCTACCGCCCCTCCCGCCGCCCCCGCCCGAGCCCGTGCTCGAGCAGTGGCGCTATAGCCACGAGAGTGACTGGCACTGGGCTCTGCGGCGCAGCTTCATCTGCCGCCACCTGCACAGCTACCCGGGGGCCGCGCTCGATCAGCTCCTCGCGCTCTCCGCTGCCTGGACCAACCACGTTTTCCTGGGGTGTAGGTGAGTCGGGGAGATCCGAGCGGACTCGGCGGCGGGGGTAGGGGTGGCACCGAGGACGCGGACTCGGCTGGGGGGGTGGTGTCGGGATAGGGACGGAGACGGGTGGGGGCGGGGGGAGGTGGCGGTTGGCGAGCACTGGGGGACTGCAGAGGGTTTGCTTTGGGCCCTGAAAGCGGGGGGCAGGGGAATCCGGCGGTGAAAGGAAGCCGTGGATGACAGTAGGGGGGGAAGGGTGCCGGGATCACGGGAGCGGCCCCTCAGAGGACCCGGGTAGGGAGCCGGGAAAGGACGGTGAGGAGGGGGCTCCGGAGGGAGTGGGAAATGACAGATCGCGGGCCTTGAACCTGTGTAGGGTCCCTAAGCTGGTGGTATTTCTAGAGAATTCTGGAGGGTCTGCGGTGCGGTGGGGCGGGGGAAAGGAGGGGGGCAGGAGCTGAGCGGAGTGGGAGGAGACGCTGCAGTTCCTAATTCTATTCTCCCCATGATCACTTAAATCAGCCACCCCAGTCCGCCCGGCTTCTCCTGAGAGCTTGGTTTGTCTTAGGTCTGCCGGCTTCAGGGTTTGCCTTGCTTTTCTTGCCCTGCTTCGAGATTTCCGCATAATGTGGATGCAAACAAAGACGAGAATATAGGTACTGTTAAAACCGTCTGTCCGCCTTTCTCTTAAAAAAAAAGATATGGTTAGGATTGACGGTTGGTCTCTGGGTAAGGTTTGCAGCTCTCTCTCTCACTCTCACTCTCACTCTCTCTTGCTTGTGCGCTCTCTCTCTGTGTTAGTATGTGTTCGTATGTATGTGTTTGCAGGGAGAGTAAGAGGGGCACCTTTTCCATACATCCTGGTCACTGTTTGCTACATGCTTCTGGAAAGCTCTTTGCCTTTATTGGAGACTGCAGTGTGGTTCCAAGGCGGGTTTTTTTTTTTTTTTGGTCAAATCAGACTCCTTGGGTCTCTACCCTTCTAAAATCCCAAAGCAGCCCTAGTCTCATCATCATTCCATTGATACACTTAAGAAGCTGCTGCTACTGTTTTTTCCCTCTTTTCATGCTTCTGCCTCATGGTGAATTTTTAATTAGGAAGGATGAGAACTACTGGAAAATGATCAGATCAAATTCTGCCACCTCAGTTCCAGAAATGACTATAATGGATCCAGACACCTAGAATTGTCCACTCCTGTCCTTCCTTATGAATGTAGTATTCCAGGGTGTTGCTGGCATCACCAAATAGAGAATTTCCCCTATGCTATCTAGGTTGGTGTAATCTCTGACCCCAGAGAGCATGATTAGGTCCCTGGAGGAATTGATGGCAGCCAGGAAGTCTCTGTAATCTGGTCAGATATGTCAAATTGATCTTCACTTAATACTGTTCTTCCCTTCGACAAGATACCTTTATCCTCTATTCATAGACTGTCATAATATCCCAGAAAGCTATACGGAATCTCATTCCCCCCACTCCAAATCATACACAGGGGAGGAGACTAACCAGCCTTTGTGGTACTAATCAATCTCACCTTCCCACTAAAATATAACCTCATTTGGGGGAGAGGGCTTGCTTTCCTGATCACACCTTTATCCTCAGTACCTATGTAAGTGCCTCCTGCATAATAACCACTGAATAAGTATGTGTGTGAAGTGAATGAGTGATGAGTTTTTTTTTTAATTTTTATTAGTGAGACACCATGAGGTACAGTTGTAGACTTACAAATTTTGTGCTTGGGTTTCAGTTACACAATGACCAAATACCCATCCCTCCACCAGTGCCCATTTCCCACCACCACGGATCCCAGTATCCCTCCCACCCCCCATGCACCCCATCGCAACCTGCCTCTGTGGCAGGGCATTCCCCTCTGTTCTCTCTCTCCTTTTGGGTGTTGTGGTTTGCAAAAGAGACATTGAGTGGCAATCATGTTTGGTCTATAATCTACTTTTAGCGTACTTCTCCCATCCTGGGAGGATCCTCCCAACACCCTTTATTTGGTGCTCCCTTCTCTATCTGAGCTCCCTTTCCCTCTAGCATGTATGGCTGGCCTCCAAGCCATGGAACAAAATTCCTGGTACTAATCTTGGCCACTCTTGGGTGTTAGTCTCCTATTTTGTTACTTTATGTTCCCCAGATGAATGCAGTCTTTCTATGTCTATCCCTCTCTTTCTGACTCATTTCGCTTAACATGATACTTTCCATGTAGTACCACTTGTACGTAAATTTCATGACTTCATCTTTTCTAACAGCTACATAGTACTCCATAGTGTAGATGTACCAAAGTTTCTTTAACCAGTCATCTGTTAACGGACACTCAGATTTTTTCCAGATTCTGGCTATTGTGAAGAGTGCTGCAATGAACAAACAAGTGCAGATGTCACTTCGACTATACTTTTTGCTTCTTTGGGATATATTCCCAGGAGTGAGTGGTATTGCTGGGTCAAATGGGAGCTCAATTTCTAATTTTTGAGAGTGATGAGAGTTTTTTAATGTACAGAATCCTGTAAGTAATTCTGTATCCCCCTTTATGCAACATCTCAGGCTTAGTCTCATTTTCTCAGCATAATCCATGGAGGTCAAAAAGGGATGTGACTTCCATGCCATCCAATGTTTGGGGCTCAGTCTCCTGTTGCCTCTTTCCAGGAAGACACAGATGCTAATATTTGGCAAGCATGAGCCAAAAGGGACAGTAAGTAATGCTGATCACGAGAGTAAACACTGAGCAAGTGATCAAACAAAGCTGATTTTTCCCCAATCTTCTAAAATTAGGGGCTAGAGAAATAGCATAGCCTGGAGGGCACCTGCCTTGATGAGGATGATGTCAGTTTGATCCCGGCACCCCATATGGTTTCCCCTGAGCATCCCCAAGAGTGATCCCTGAACATAGAGTCAGAAATAAGCACTGAACACTGTCGGATTCGGCCAAAAAAATGAGGGATTTGGGACTATACCCAAGAGTGCTCGGGACTTACTCCTAGCTCCTTGCATAGGGATCACTCCTGGCAGAGCTCAGGTAATTTTTTTGGGTGCCAGCAATCAAACGTGGGTTGGTCCTGTGTGAAGCAAGTTCCCATGTTTTGTTTTTGTGCTCTCTCTCTCCAGCTCCAAAATATTGTCGTTCCCTCCCCCCCCCCCCCAAAAAAAACCCCAGGCAACTGGGAATCTCAAGTAGCTAAAACTGTTTCTCTTCACTCTTTTTGTTTGTTTTGGGGCCTCACCTGGAAGTTCTCAGGAGTTACTCCTGGCTCTGCACTCAGGAATTACTCATGGCAGTGCTTGGTGAACTATGTGGGATGCCAGAGATCAAACCCCGGCTGACTGAGTGCAAGGCAAACACCCTACCTGCTATACTGTGGCTCCAGCTGCATCCCGTATTGTCTTAATCTAGGTTGAGGCAAGACTGATGTTCCAAGATAGGCACAGGTTACAGAAGGTGTGGAAGCTCTAGGAAGATGGAGCTATCTTTGCTCTGTCTGATGTTCACTGCTAGGAGTCTTGGGGCCACATACATAGTCTTATGTATCTTATGTATACATAGTCTTATGTGCCCAGCCAGATACAGTCTTAGACTTGAGAATCATTTTTCAGTTATTTTTAAATCTCAGCTATTTTTAAAAATTTGGACTGAGTGAGGCAGTTGGATACATATTGGAAACATGTCAAGCATCTATTCTTGGACATTTATTAAATAGTAGATTTCTATTTAATAAATGGCCATTGTGTAGCAGCTGTACAAGCATATGCACTTATCTTTGTTCAAGACTGTAAGATTACTATCACTGGAGTGATAGTAGAGTGGGTAGGGCACTTGCCTTGCACGTGGCTGACCAGGGTTCGATCCTTGGTATCCCATATGGGTTCCCCGAGTACCATCAATGTGCCAGGTGTGGGCAAAAACAAAACAAAAAAACCCAAAACAAATTAAACTCAAAACTATAATATTCTGGAAGAAGTCATGTCTTTGTCTATTAGAAGCCTTCTTTTATTTCCCTGGCCTGGTCGGATGGTTGAATAATATCTTTATTTCCAAAAGCATTGGACATTATAATATACTTTTGGAAATCCTAAAGGCCTGTTGGGGTTTGTTTGGTCTTATTTGAAGCATTTATAACCATATTTGTTAATTATCTATAGTTTATCTATAGTTTAAATTATCTAAACTATAAATTAGACTTAACCAGTACACACACATCACACGTTTACTCCAAGACTCTCCATGGTAAAGAGATAGAGCAATAGAGAAAGAAGAAAAGTGCCTGCCATAGAGGCTGACTGAAGGAGGAGAGGGTGGTAGGAGGAAAACTGGGAACATTGGTGGTGGGAAATGTACACTGATGAAGGAACGGGTGTTGAAATACTGTATGACTGAAACTCAATCTTGAACAACTTAACTGTGTATCTCAAGGTGGTTGATTAAAAAAATGACTCACCTTAGTAACAGTATTTTGCATCATGACACTGCCATAGATGGGATATTGGGAGACAGAGAGTACAGCAGGTAGGGTACTTACCTTGCACGCTGCCAACCCAGGTTTGATCCCCGGCATCCCATTTGGTTCCTCAGCACTGCCACAAATAATTCCTGAATGCAGAGGTAGGCGTTAACCCTCAGCATTCCCAGCTGTGGCCCCCAATCAAAAATAAGATGGGATATTATAAAGTCATTAAAAGTTATATGTTCATGGGGGCTGGACCAATAGTACAGTGCGTAAGTCACTTGCATGCGACAAACCCGGCTTTGATCCCTGGCACCCCATATGGTCCCCCACATACCTCCAAGAGTGATCCCTGAGTCTAGAGCCAGCAGTGACCTCTGAGCATTGCTGGGTATGGCCCTAAAACAAAGCAAAACAGGTTTGTATGTTCAGGACATGAATTTTGTAAAGCCATTAAAAGCTATTCACCTTCCATTCCAGTCAGGACATGTTGAAGAAACTTAGGATTTATTCAACTATGGACAACTTTCTTGGGTCAGAAAGCTAGAATAGGGGGTATGGCACTTGTCTTGCATACAGCTTACTCT